AGGAAAGCTGGATGGCCAAAGGTGCAACTTTGTCATAGACTCTGCGTCTCAGCAAACCCTTGTGAGCATCAAGGTGTTAGATCACGAAGGAGTACCAAAAGCCATACAGAAGCTTTATGGTGTGACAGGACATTCTGCAAGGTTGTGGCGACCAGTATGGATAACTATTGAGCTCATAGGCATAAAGGACAGACAGAAAGTATACTTGGCTGAGATTGAAGACGAATGCATATTAGGATTGGACTACTTACTACCGAGGAAGTTCGTAATTAATTTTGATAAAATGACGTTTGGGAACAACAAAAGCCAAGTTCTGGTAACTGTTAAAAGAGAGGTTGAACTAATTAGGTGTCATCAAGCTGTAATGAAAGTGACTGAAAGAGTTGATGATGGTGAAATGGAACCAGGTATAGATATTAAATCAGAGCATGAAGCCACTGGATACACTCCAGCAAAGTTGATGTTTGGTGGGAACTTCGGTCGCCAGTGGATCTGTCAACAGGACGCCCACCTTATGAAGAGTTGCCTGAAAATGTATCAGAATCTGTGAAAGTGTTATCAGAAAAGATGGATGATATTCACCATCAAGTGCGTTCAAACTTAAAAACGTCTGCTGATTCGATGAAGTTATCTTTTGATAAGAGATCTACTGAAGTCAACTTTGTACCAGGAGACAAGGTGTGGTTGTATAATCCCAGGAAGACCAAAGGGAAGTCTCCTAAGTTGTCTTCTCCATGGGAAGGCCCATATGACATAGTGGATCGTCTCTCAGACGTGCCTTCCGGATAAAATGCGGTCGGCGAGGAAAGCCAAAGGTGGTGCATGCCAACAGGCTTTGGCGTTATCACGGTCCAGGACATTTCAGTTGGGACGAAATGAACAACAGAACAAATGACGCTGCTGAAGTTGTGTCACCTGAAAAAGCCACTGTCGAAGAAGAAACACTACTCAGTTTTGAGAAGGAAAATAGTGAAGTCCTTGATGAAGTTACTACCACTGATGTAACTTTTACCAATGGTAGGGCGTTTCCTGATGAAGCAGATGAACCCCACTTGAAGCAGTAGCCAACGAGACGGAGACCAGTACGGAAGAAGATACATCCCATAAAATTAAGAGACTTTGTTGAATTTTAGTTTTGTGTTTGTAAATTCTGTACATTTAATTAAGTTATTGTTAATTGTTTTTTGGTTTAATGACGAAACGAACAATACTAAGGAAGGGGCAGTGTTACGACAGCAGAGGTCACGTGACCCTAGTAACACGTCATGCTACTTCGTAGGAACTATTCATACGAAACC